GGAAGGTGGGGTAATGCCAGTATTACCTAGAGTTTTCTCCTTTTTTTTTTCTAGCAGGTGAGATGGTCTTCCTGCAGGTGAACTCACTGCCTGGCATGTGAAAAATTGTGGGATGAACGACAAGGATTGTAAGGTCTTTTGCTAGTGAGAAGCTGGCGTATTCATAGAAACACTATACTTCTAACTGTTCTAGTTTTGAGTGGTAACAATGATTTAATACGTGGCCTGTACTTCTGTTTTTAATACTTGTTCTTTTCTTACTACTTCCCTCCATCCTTGTTCGCCTTGGTTAGACACTTCAGAGGTGGCTGTCACCAGGTCTGCTGAGACTGGCAGGTCTATCTTGGCATTTGTTGCACAACATGCTCTGGTGACAGGGAGACCCAGCGTCACTGGTCAGGGCAGTCATGGAAAAATGAAGGAGCAAGGTAGTGGTGAAAGGAAGTCTGGATCTGTCAGCACAGGTGACAGATGATGAGATGCAGAGAAAGGTAGTAGCACATGAACACCTCAGAAGATAAAACTGAGGGCTTAAGTACAACAGAAACAGACAGGACGTGAGTGGGAATAACCTACCTTTACAGTGGAGGCAGACAGGCAGTGTGGAAGAACTAAACAAGGCAGTGCCATGGCAAGAACAGAGACAGGAGCAAAGCACCACCGTGCTGGGATGCTCTGGGGAGGTTTCATTGCACCATCAGTAGCACCTCAGCTAGGTCCGGACCTGCAGAGGTGACTCCTGCTGCTGCTTTACCAGTCGTCATGCTAGAGATAGCAGCACATTGCAGCTGGGAAGTCGGACACCAGTGCAACAACATGGTGCTACACTCCCAGCAGAGGAACAGGACATGAAGAGTGCGGTCCAAAACAAGCCAGGGGGGTAAAACATTACTGAGGATTCTGGATGGAGGCTGCAATTTAGCTTCAAGGAACTTTTTTCTAAGCTACACTCCCTCTAAAACTAGTTCATCCGAATGGGTGGATATGCTACTTTAATGAGACTCCTGAAACCTTAGTAAGAACTGTGGTTAAAACCAAGATCAGCTGCCAGAGCCACAAGTGTATGGTAGGGTTTTATGGGGCACCTTTCAGTAGAATCTGAGTCCACTGCGCCGAAGCCAAGGGTTTCCCTTCCATGCAGCAAACGTAAACCTGGCTTTCCACATCAGGGATCACTAGGATCCTACTGGCTCCTTAAGCAGGAGAGACTCTACTTTGTGAGTAAGTATTTTCCCCTGTTAAGTGGCTTATGTCACTCCCAAGGTAGAAAGAGAGAGAAAGCAATAAATGTTTTGGGATGCACTGGACATGGTGAGGCCCCAGAAATGGGCTGTGAACCACAGACAATCTGTGAGAATGAACAGGAACTTGAAAGAGACTCTGGACCGTAACAGGAAGGATGTACGTCCAGCCCTGCCCAGTCTGGGAGAGACAAGATGCAGAAATTATTATCATTTAAGTTGCAGTGGAGGCTTATGTTTTTTTTTCACCACCTTTTATAGCACTCGATAAAATCTGTCACATTTGGAGACATCCCTATATATATATAGGTATATATACCTATACATATACCTATATATAGACAGAATGTGATATATATATCAGTAATAGGACAAGAGACTTGCATGGGTGACTCTTTTCTAAGTTGTTGGGCTTCAGCTTTTTCACAGTTTGCCAGACTTTTGCAGAAGATCTCATGGTCGTGGCCTCCCCTTCTTTCTTGAAGTCTCGCAACTTCCCTCCAGCAAACGCAGCAGTGACAGGATGAGGAAAGTGGCGATAGCTCCCCAGCTGCTTCAGCGTGACTTTCAAAACTTGATGTGTAAATTAGTGCTTCATGCACATTTGTCACCTCTGAAAACTGAACAAAGGAGAATGCAGGTACTAATTTTAGGCAGCCAGGCAACACAGTAGACAGTTGCCTAGGGCAGCAGACTTGTTGAGTGCAGCAAAATGCCAAGTTCTTACTAAGAAACACGCTTGCTGTTGCTGCTTCCTCTAGGAAGGTGTCACGTAAGTCGGTCTTGAAGAGCATTAGACCTTCACTCTGAGCTCTTTACCTTGGATTCTGAGGTCTTTACGCTACAATTCATGTAGCTTTTCAGGCGATAGCTCCGTTTTCCCCACGTGATCCTCAATGGTCTGGGTGCAAGGACCAGCTTTCTAGCTGCCTCGCAGCAGTGTTGATGCATGGCCATCATCTGAGTGGGCCATGCCTGTTTTGGACTTTTTCCTCATACTCCTTCCTCCTTCCTGCAGCCACTCACTCTGTTTGCTTTCCTGTTGGCTGTTTCCTTCAGACCATCAGCCACATCTTTTGCAGCTTTCAGTTTGGAAGACACTATGTGAGGCTAAATCCCTCTGACAAAACCTCACCCGCCATTACCGCTTTATCTGAAGTCATAAGCACAATCAGCGAAGGAATTATCTACGAGGCCTTATAAAGGACTCACTTCCACAGTTCACACCTGAGCAGCAGTCACTGTCTTCGGCAGCAGAATTTAGCTAGAATTCAGAGTTTCAGGCATTTCCCTTGGAAGCATTTCCTTTAGCCTTTGGCTGAAATACTGGGCTGGCTGGTTAAGTCCTCTTATCCAATATGGCATTTTTTATGTCCCATGGCTCAAAATAAGATGAGAAGATCAGACTTGTGCTTACAAGCTATCAGGCTGCCACCAGCAGTATTCACAACATTTTGTTGTTGTTAATCATCAGCAGCATTCAAATATTAATAATTAAAGAGGCATTTAATTAACATGGTGTGTTTCTCAGAGCAAGTTTCACGTGAGCATCTCGCAGGCTTTGAGGCCGTAAAGGTTTTAGGTTGCACGTCACCGCAGTGCCAAAGCTCGACGGCCAGCGCCGTCCAGCCCAGCGCGGATGTCGGGACATCGGCATCGCCCGTATTTGTGAACGTGTTTATCTCGGCTACGGCGTCTTGCATACCCGCCTTGGAGGGTCACAGGGACGGCTCGCCACTGGGTTCTCCTTGCTCGGAGCCCGTGAGGAGACTTCATTAGGGCGAAGCTTATGGATACACCTTTCCCATCATGTCATTTATTTACATGGTACATACCTCAGGCATGCATGCGAAACAGCGAGGGGAGGTTTTTTCTTTTTTTTTTTTTTTCCCTTAATTCTTCTTCCTTCTGGCTGTGTTGAAATGGAAAGGTGGGATGTTCTCTCCTCTGCCAGTGAAAAGATTTTCGGTATCTGCCTTGGAAATTGTGTAGGTGACATCACACCGTGTCTGTGCAGACTCATTGTTTGTCATGGAAAAGCCACTCATCCGTACACTGCTTCCTTCCTCCCCAGACGCCGAGAGATAAACTTTCCATTCTGCCCATTCCCTATAGAAACCAACCCAAAACATGCATGCGTGGCTACACACACAGAGCCCCGGCCAGCCCGCCGTCACGCTCGCGGGCACGGGCCACGCGGCAGGGAGGATAGAGGAGATGTGAATAGGGTCACCCTGTTTTCTTCAGACGCGGACCCCGCTGTGCCTGCGCAGTAAAACTCCCCTCCCGCCGAGGCTGTGGGTCACACAAGGCCTTTTTGTCCCGGGGCTAATGCTGCCGCTCAGAGCTGCACATCTGTGTGCCAGGTGAGGCAGGGCCACCAGCTGCAGGTACTGCACATCTGGATGGGGCAGGAAGCGAAGCTTGGTACAAACAAACACAGCAATTTCACCATGGTGGACGCAAGGAATTCAATAAAAAATACACCGCAGCGCTCCGAGCTGCCGAGGCCGGTGATTAACGTCTCCGATGCCGCTTAGGAGGCAACGTGAGGAGCCAGACACTGTTGCGTGCGCCCTGTCACAGCTCGGCGGCCGCTGGAGGGGACCCGCACGCGCGGCCGTCGCGCGGCCTCGCTC